TCTGTAACTTTGGGAGGATACAGCATGACAATTGAAAAATTATCAAATCAAGTTTATTGCCAATATTTGTATATTAAATGGCAGAAAACTGTGTGATGTCATAGCGGTAGAATGAGCTCATACTATTACAGGACTGAGACAGGATCTTTGAGACAGAAGGGCCAGAGTTAAATGATTGTACCAAAGGTTCCTGATATGAGCGTGGATGGATCAAGAAAAAAAACGTCATGTCTGTGACTGTCAAGGAAATGGCACAAAAAAGTCAACATTGCAGAATATGTCTGATTTGAAATAGATGGTTGGAAGCTGAATGTTCTCATAGACAGTATATATATTTTTTACAAGATGAAGTTATTTTGACAAATTTGTAGTTTGGATATTCCTTTCTTGTAGATTTTTCTGAACATAATGTTCAGTTACTGAACCAAAATTGGACAAAATGAAAAGAGGAGATGTAATTGAAGATTGAGGCCAATGATTTAGTTATTTTATATTTAACTATTTCACTTCTTATTGGCGGGCTTCTCATTTCTTCTGTCGTGAAATTTGTAATTGAACTCTGCAAGGTTCTCACTGTGGGACAAATAAATGAGCTCCTAGTTGTGATCTTCTTGATAGTAATTGAAAATCATTTCACAGGTCAGATTTTCCCTAAGTTTGACATCTCTGCCCTGTAGTTTATCTCAGTTACTTTGGTCCTGCTATACGGTCTCTGACTGGATCATACATTGGAGACCCACATGTTGCAAGTTGGGAGTGCTGTTGAAGTGAAGGCTGCATATCTTGGTAGTTTCGGCGCTGCAGGGGGGAGAAAACGCCCAGCTCCCTCTCTACTGGTCGTGCTGGAAGCGTGAGTGCGACTATGACGTGTATCTGTCCCTGCCGGTGTACCTGTGCCGGCGGGCGGGCGGGCGGGGCTCAGGTAAAGCACGGATCTGATTGAATTATGCTGCATCCTCCGCTTCCCCTTCAGAACCACTGATTGCGTTTACAAAGCACAAGAATACAGAGGATAATCAAAAAGATAATTAAATAAGTGGACTCGGCCCATCCAATATTGTCTCTCGTAAGGTTTTCCTTACTTTCTTCGCCAATGTAGGAAGAAAGTAAGTAAGTAAGTAAGGTGGTAATAATATATAATTGCATCACATCTTTGTCTCCAAAGGAGCAGAGCCTTTGATGTGAGCAAGTTGTGAGGGACTAAGGGAGACTGGAGGTGCGATTTGTTTATATTATAACATTGTTACAATGCATCTTGGAGAAATCTACTGGCTGTGTCTCGTGGGTAGGTAGGTAGGTAGGATCCGGCATACGTGGTTAAATGCCAGCAAATACGCACTAGAAGCTGTGCTGAAATCTCACATCTGTGAGTGTACTAGTTTACATGCGTCTTGATCATCTGAATAAAATTGGACCATGCCAGGGATCTGGATTTCACTCGTGCTTTGTGAACGTACTCATTGTGAGACTGTTTGGCCTCTGCTGCTGGACGTGGTAGTGATAAGAAGTGCATGTGATGAGTCCATGCTGCCAGCTTTGCTTTTGGCAGCTATGAAAGCATCAGTTTTGAGTATGTTAACTTATGAGAACTACTGTAGTGATCTGAGCTACTATCAATCAAGTTTTTATGTATTTTTGGATGTGTTATGGCAGTGTCTCCCAAAGTGGGGTCCGCGGCCCCCTGGTGGGCCGCGAGGGTACTGCAGGGGGGCCGCGGGAGGTCATAAAAAAAATAAAAAAATAATATAATTATTTAATGTTAAATTTATAATGTTTTGTTTGTTATATTAAAATATTTGTGTTCATTATTTGACTTGAATAAGCCACTGTAATCATTTTTGTATAACAATGTTTGTAGCAGAGGCTATTTCCCCAAAATAAAATAACCAGAAGAGCCTATTCTTAATGTTGTCTTCTTGGTTATTATTTGGGGGGGCCACGCAGACCCGTCAGATTTTTAAGGGGGCCTCGGTGTTACTGAGTTTGGGAATGGCTGTGTTATGGTATCAAACATTGCTGTATTCTGTGCTTCTATCGCCAACAGAATTTACCATTTTAAAAAGTTTCTTTCTGCTGTATTGAAATGCCTTTTAAGCCATGGAGCAGCTTTTGGTGATAGGTCTAAATGCTCAAAAAAAGCTACTGCCAATAATGAAAAAAATAAGTTCATATTTTCTTCAATTAGGCCAATTTCAGCCAATTTTGAATCTCTTAGAACAAGATTTGTGAATGGAACCAAAAATGTCTTCTCAACTACAATACCAGTATTCTGAGATACTGCTCTTAGCCTTAAAGTTGGGTTTTATTTTTCAACTTAATGTTTTTCACACACCCTGTGAGTCACTATTTGACTCTGAAAAAGATTGGCTGAGTGATGGTTTGTGACAGATGTGACAGAGGCCAAACATACATGAACCTGTTGTTAGAGCGAGCAAATAGTTACATAGATTTTATGACATAATTCTTTTTCTTAAGGTCTGGAGGTTAGGTGCCCCAGCAAAATGTTTGAGGTGAAGTCAAAATGTACTGAAATCAAGATAAACTTGACTTATTATTTATCATTGTTTGCAGTGGTTGGTTGAGTCTTCCTTTCAGAGCATGCAGGCTGTGTATATTTACAAACTGCGTTTCCATCCTCTTGTTTTTAGTGTAGTATGACACAAGCAGTTATTCCCAACCCTTTGCCCTGTGTGCTCATAGACCGACTCATATATTAACATGAGACTGCTTAATTCATGACTTTCAGCCCAATTTTAAATTGTGCAGAATTTGTATACATTGTTTGCTTTGTGGAAACATATCTGGTTGTTAATTTATTTGTATTATTTATTTTTGACCAAATTATTGTTTTATTTATCTTCTGTTTTAGATTTGAGTACATGCATGGACTGAACCAAAACTGGACCAAAAGGCTTGTTATAGCAGGCTTAAATACCGTTATCACTAATAGCCTTCTGGGTTCAATGTTTTTGTTTATAATTAAATGTTTTATTTTGTTTTTCAACTTTAACAACATAAACATCAGACACACATATATCAGCAATATCTCTAAATATTCCTTGGGCGCAAGATATAATAATAGTAAATACAAATAAAAAGTGGCTTTCCGTTGTTCAAATTTTAGTCCAAAATTTGCCCCCAAGATTTTGCAAAAGTATCAGAATTGTCATTTAGCCTGAGAGTTCAATGTTTATAATAAATGGCATGCTGGTTTTCTTGATATACTGTATATATAAATATATACAGTACAGACCAAAAGTGTCTTTCTTTTCATGAATATTGACTGTAGATTCACACCCAGGCTGTGTTTGTTCAATAAGGAGAGTGGTGAGGTGCTGATGACCCGGCCTCCAGTCACCGGACCTGAACCCAATCCAAATTATTTTGGATCTGAATCCAATCCAGATGGTTTTGGGGCTGGACCACAGAGTGAAGGCGAAAGGGCCTTCACTCTGCCGGTGACGTCAAGAGTTTGCGCCGAACGGGCAGGTTGTAGTTTGGCAATGGCGAAGAATGCGATAGTAAAGTAATCCGGTCTGTTTTATCAAGAAATTGAAGCAGGAGCAAGAGGAATGTTTAGCAAATGTAATCCCTGGTAAAGATTGTGGCGCTACTCCCCACGGGCTCCGTTAGCAGCAAAGGAGATGGCTAGGCTAAATGCTAAATGCTAACAACAGACTCGGGCGCATTACAAACGTCACGGTAAACTCAGATCCAATCGTTTCAATCTGCAAAAGGAGTTGACCCCTATCTGTAAACGGAACTCAATGAAGCCAATCCAGACCTTAGTATGAAATGTAATTTGTACTATGGTGTGGTACAACCAGGCTAAAACAGTTTACTCCTTTCCTGGTTTCAGAGGAGAGTATGAACAAACTAAGCAACCACAGATCAGTAATGGGCACACAAATTTGGTTTTCTGATGAACAAGTTTTAGCATACAATTTAGCATATTTTCTATGGATGGAAACGTTGTTAATTTATGTTTTATCATGTAATTAAACTATTAACATTGGTATAAACTAGTGGTGAGCAAACCGGTCCACGAGCCGGTGTGGCTGCATGTTCAGCTAGAGCAGGAGCGAAAACCAGACTCTGGCCATTTCCTCAGGTGAGTCCAGTTTTAAAAGGGGACTATCCTTATTAAAAACTATTTTTAACTGAGAGAAGACAACAGCGCCAGCGCAAATGTCCATTTCTTGCACATTGTAAGTAAGTAAGTAAGCTTTATTTATATACCGCCTTTCACAGACCAGAGTCACAAAGCGGTTTACAATTGTTATTTTTTGGGCACTTGTCCTCTCACTCCACACAGAGATGGGAGCGGGGTCGCCGAACAGGAGGCGCATGCACAGTCCTATTGTACATATTTTTTAGTGGTAGGGGAAACCGGAGTACCCGGAGGAAACCTACGCAGACACGGGGAGAACATGCAAACTCCACTCAGAAAGGCCCTGGTCCGGCCGGGATTCGAACCAAGGACCTTCTTGCTGAGAGGCGAGAGTGCTATCCACTCAGCCACCGTGCCGCCCATTGCTCCTCATCTGAACCGAGTCAGAGTCCTCAAAATCAGAATTACTGTCATAACAAGTACGCAAGGGCTCATAAATAAAAGCCCCTGACTTGTATTGTCCATCACTGAATAACAAATATCTGTTTAAAACGTCCGTATACAACGTTATGGCTTACAAATGCATATCAACAAAGCCCAATAACCCCTACGTGTACGTCACTTCCCTGTCTCTGCAATTTTTATGCAAATTTCTTTTTGCATGATAGTTATTGATAGTTTCACCCTTAGCAGTTTCTATCTGTCAAAATGAGTTTTATTTAACACAAAAAAAGACCACAATATACCAACAAAATAATATTAGGTCCCTTTTAAGTTGAAGATTTGAGGAAATGGGTGGAGTCTGTTGTTCTCCTTACCCTTTGAGGACCGGTTGGCCCACCCCTGCTTTATTAACTCACCTTTTTGATTTGTTTGATTTTTCCTGTAGGCGACTACGCACAGGCTACCGGGGGTACCAGCATGGTGCCGGTGAAGCCCTCCCCCCCAATGCCCCCGAAAAGAACCACCCCTGTGACTAAACGCAGCACGGAGGAAGTCCCGCCTACAGGGCACCCCATCGTCCCCTCTCCACTGTCCCTGGAGGACCACAAAACCCTGGCTCTGGGATTCTCCTTGCCTCCATTGTCCACCTCGCCTCCCTCTCATCACCTCCAGCATCAGCACACATACCCCCACGCACTGCCTCAGCCCATCCCACTGCTGTTGGACCCTCCTAGCCCTCCCCCTGAGTCCCCCCAGCGCCCGGCTCCTATCCCCCTGCACATTATGATCCAGAGGGCCTTGTCCAGCCCAGGCCCGGCCCAACCTCACCCGGACGGAGCTCAGAGGGCCCACGCGCTGCTCTTTGAAACCCCTGAGTATCAAGGAGGTCGTCCCCTGCCTGTTAGCATCCAGCCACTCAAAATGTAAATATGACATTTGTGCACAAATTATTTTCCAACCCAATTACTTTACTCCAGTTTGGTAAATTTCCTCAGACCCCGTTCAAGCTGTATCAGCAAACTGTTCTGCCTGTCAGTAATTGTGCTGCTGAAGTCCATGGTCACACATCACATCTTTTTTTTTCATCACATACATTTTTTTAGCAAATTGTCATTGTACAAAATCACCTTCCTCATCCATGCAGCATTTTGTATCCCAGAGATTTTATCTTGTTTTGAATTGTTTATCAACGATTTCATGACCTTGAATTTGGATGTGCTGTTTCACTCTGTGAAACCTGTAGTAGTAATAGTAGTCATGATTTTTTTTTTTTTTTTCAAACTGGTATTTCTTACAAAAACAATGAACATTGAACAAAAACAGCAATACAGTTTGACAAGGGGTTGAATGATGAACACTGTTTAGGCTCCAACAACTATCACACAATTCACACAAACAAAAGACATGATAGCCCAATTACATCTTACTATCAATTTTTGCAAGTTTTGAAAATAATTACAAGTACTCCTTGTAATACCCCCGCACACCGCCTGTTGGGAAACACTGGTTCAGTCCACCCGGATGGACCAGGAAAGGTTTGTGGTATATTTATCTGTGTTGTTGTGCGCAGCTCTGAGGACGATTTCTCTGAGGAGGACGACGACGACGAGGAGGATGAAGAGTATGATGGGGAGATACCTCAGCCCGAGCTAGAGCCGCGCACTCGCCGCTGTATGGTGGGAGATGTGTGCGTGCTGCCGGAGGAGAATAGCAGTGAGGAGGAGGAGGAAGAGGACGCGCAGGAAGCAGATAGTGACTCTGATGGACCTGTGCAGTACAAACACAGTGACAGTGAGGAAGACGAAGATGAGCCACCTCTGAGTGAGTGCAAAACACTTCAACTTTCACTTATAGCAGTGTCAGTGTATTTATCTTTTGGGCACAACCAATATGAACTGGTAGTGGAAGTAAAAAAATAGGTACCCCAGCTTTAATTTGGTGAGTTTAAATCAGTGGGGACGGGTCCCAGCTCAAAAATGTCCAAAATGATGTGCGCTGTAATTCATCCAGAGTGATCATGGGCCTCTTGACTGCATCTCTGATCAGTCTTCTCCTTGTTTGAGATGAAAGTTTGGAGGGACGGCCGGGTCTTGGTAGATTTGCAGTGGTCTGATACTCCTTCCATTTCAATATAATTGCTTGCACAGTGCTCCTTGAGATGTTTAAAGCTTGGGAAATCTTTTTGTATCCAAATCCGGCTTTAAACTTCTCCACAACAGTATCTCGGACCTGCCTGGTGTGTTCCTTTGTCTTCATGGTTCTCTCTGCGCTTTAAACAGAACCCTGAGACTATCAAAGAGCAGGTGCATTTATACGGAGACTTGATTACACACAGGTGCATTCTATTTATCATCATCAGTCATTTAGGACAACATTGGACCATTCAAAGATCCTCACTGAACTTCTGGACTGAGTTTGCTGCACTGAAAGTAAAGGGGCCGAATAATATTGCACGCCCCACTTTTCAGTTTTTTATTTGTTAAAAAAGTTTAAATTATCCAACAAATTTCATTCCACTTCACGATTGTGTCCCACTTGTTGTTGATTCATGACAAAAAAATTAAATTTTATATCTTTATGTTTGAAGCCTAAAATATGGCAAAAGGTTCAAGGGGGCCGAATACTTTCGCAAGGCACTGTATATACAAAAGTAACACTTTTGTATATAGAAAATCAAAAAAGCGCAAAAAGAGTTCCTCACATTATATTTGACTAATTGGGGGATATGAATTCCAGGCACCAAAAGAACTTCTCAATACACACTAATATGCCACTGCACACTGGTTGAAAAACACTGATGCCATGTTTGCCCACGTAAAGCTCCTATGATGCTTTCATCATACCCCTGTAATACCCTTGAGTGCCTCTTGGGTCCAGAGAATCACTGCCTTGTCTGTGGAACACATACCTGACATGCATTCCTAATATATATACATAATATAAAATGGTAATTAGGACAAAGGAAGCCCAAGCAGAACTGTGATTATTAAACACTGTTGGAACATGGTGACAAACTCAAAAAAATAGATTTACCTATTTAAAAAATGTTTAATCATTCAAATGTATGTTGCATTTCTAGGTGCATTGGCGAGCAGAGTAAAGAGGAAAGACACTCTGGCCCTGAAGCTGAGCGGTCGGTCCTGCGCCCCACATCGCGAGCGCTTCCCACCAGAGAGACACACACTGACCTGGCAGAGCAGAGAACAGTGGGAAGCTATCCGCACCCAGATTGGGACAGCACTGACCAGGTCACACCACACACCCCTGTCTCAGTAATACACTCTTGTCTCAGTGTACATGCAGGATTGATATCCGATTGACCACAGTGTGCTTAGAGACACTTTGCTGTAGCAAATGTTGGTTTTTTTCCACAGCCGATTGAAGCCACTTTCCATTAAGTAATCTGTCATTTGAGTAATTTGAGAATAACAAAAAACAGTCAATTTTAGTCATATAGTGCATCAGAAGAGACCTAATATTGTCTTGGGTCCTGTAGATTATGAATACTGTATAAAAGCGTTTGTTTTAGTCTAACAATAGAAAACAGACAGTTTTCTAGTGCCTTTGTCCTACTTATGGCTGAATGAAGCCATGATGAAACTGTGTAAAAATAGAATTCTCTTTTCTCACTTCAGACGACTGAGCCAGAGACCAACTGCGGAGGAACTGGAGCAGCGCAACATCCTCCACCGTGAGTTTTCTCTGTCCCACAAGTTAAAGCACTGATGTTTGTATATGCTTTTATCATTACAGTCTTATGCATGGGTTGAGGCTAAAATTATGGACTCCTGTGGGACTACACAGAATTCTCAGCGGATGCATCCATTTAGAAGTATCTTTAACCCTTTATGAGCAGAGCAAGTTATTTTGTCATTATTAAAGGGGTGCCTAACCTTGTATTTCATTAATAATACATGATGTCTGTCCCAGCAGAAAAAATCTTGTAAAAGTAAAATGGTATGGACAAAGAAAACGTTTCTTTACCTTTTTGTAAACATGCTATCCCTTTCTGAGAATCGATTGGCCCCTCAGTCTTTTTATCACTATTCGGAAAAAGCTGATCTAAAGAGACCAAAAATACATAAACTAGTGATAGAACCCACCTGTAGATCGATTGTGTTTCAACATTCTGTGGTTTGAAAGTTAGGTACCCCAATTTGAGTTTAGAAAGTGTAATTTTTGGTCCAGCCTCCCTGAATCTACTGTCTAATTTTAGAATGCTGTTTTATTGTCGAAAATCTGCTGCTTGTACTTTGTCTTATTTGAATTGTTTGATCATCTTTAGCCAAGAATCAGGCCGACAGACAGGCGGAGGTTCGGGAGATCAAGCGACGCCTCACAAGAAAGGTACGGCCCCTCTAGTGAAGGCTCCGCCTACTATATGTCTCCTACAGGCTCCACCTACTATATGTCACAACTGTATGAACAATTGTAAAGCGCTTTGGGTGACCTTGGTCTGTAAAATGCGCTATATAAATAAACCTTACTTACCCACTCACTTACTTACTTACTTACATACCTGCTAGGGGTGTGCCAAAACCCAAGTCAAACCCCAAAGAAGTCCTATTTCGGTTATTTAACTTCTATTGTGAAACTAATTCTTGTTATAGTAGCCTGGGTGCAGCTGAACTTCAGCCCCGCATCCATTATTATCGGTCTGGCAATACTCTCTCGAGGCAGAATTATCTCTGAAAAAATCTTACTATGGACACCGCTAAAAGAGAGGATTCATCTGAAAGGGCAATCCATAATAAATAAATAAATGAATATATAATTGACCAATCAAATTGTCAGGGCGGGCTTTATATGTTGATGGGCTGATGAGGAACAGTATGCAGCGACGTAACATTATCTCACATGATTCCTGAGAGCTTTCGTCTCTGATTTATCTACTCTCTGAATGGGGCATGCACTGTAGAAATACTGTTTTGCTCGCATGGGACGCAATCAATCACATTGTCCATCCATCCATTTTCTACCCTTTAATCCATTTCTGGGTCAGGGGGGTGGCAGTCAGAGATGCCACCCAAGTCTCATAGCACCAGCCCCTCACTGACCCTCTGCAGGTGGTGAGTCCACAGGAGGACGGCTGCTCTCTGACTGTGAGCATAGCCTTGATCTTTCAGTGGGGGCTTTGGGCAAAGTGGGGTTAAGTGTCTTGCCCAAGGACACAACGACAGCAGTCATCAGTGGGAGTCGATGGAGAAGGTGCAGAGGTGGGAATTGAACCCACGACCTTCTGGCCTTAAGGCCAATGCTCTACCAACTGAGCTACTGTCGCCCTCAATCACATTGATTAGTCGTAAATACATCTGCCGGAAATTTAATTTTGTGTATACAGAGGTTTCTTTGCGCCGAGACCCCATTATCACTGCGTAAATTAAGTTTAAGCGGAAATTCAGAGTGGAAGACCTGAGAACCCAGCTAGGAGCGCAGTTCTCCTGCTGTTACCCACAGCAACAGCAATCAGTCAATCACACTCAGCTGTGCAGCGCCTCACACAAATCCTGATCTGTAGCAATCAGGCACTACCCGCATCAGCTTCATATCTCGCAGAAGCTCAATCCAAGCAGCAGCTTCATTCATGCCACGCCTCCTCCTCCCCATCTCCGCCTTGTTCTAGGCCAGCTCCTTCATCCTTCTCCTAGCTACCACCACCAGGATCTAGATTCTGTACCAACACTACAAAGAAATGTATGAATGGACCATAAGGGTCATTATATTTGGACTCTAAAGTCCAAATATAATATTCATAATCTTATATGATAATATTTTGACTTTAAAGTAAAAATATTATGAGAATAAAGTCGAGGTAATGATGACATTAATCTCGAAATATTATGAGAGAAAAGTCAATGGAGACAATGGAGCTCCATCGTACAAAGCAACTCTGAACGGATAAGCGCTTTGTGCATTTGTGATTACATGTCATCGTTATTTTGACATTAATGTAAAAAGAAAACAAATGTATTCTCATAGTATGAGATTACAAAAGTGTACATTGAGGGGGTGTGACCAATTAATAGGCAAATTTAAATTATATATATATTTTAAATAAAAACAGATACAAATGGAAATAAAAGCAATTGGCTTAAAACTTTAAAAGTCAGTCTAAAAAACGCGGGGCTCCTTCACCGTGCTCCCCAGAGCTGGACCTGCTCTTCCCGGGGTCTGCGCTGGTCTCTCCCCGCACTGGTCTCTCCCCGCACTGGTCTCTCCCCGCACTGGTCTCTCCCGGCACTGGTCTCTCCCCGCACTGGTCTCTCCCCGCACTGGTCTCTCCCGGCACTGGTCTCTCCCCGCACTGGTCTCTCCCCGCACTGGTCTCTCCCCGCACTGGTCTCTCCCCGCACTGGTCTCTCCCCGCACTGGTCTCTCCCCGCACTGGTCTCTCCCCGCACTGGTCTCTCCCCGCACTGGTCTCTCCCGGCACTGGTCTCTCCCCGCACTGGTCAATCTCCGCACTGGTCTCTCGTCGTGCTGGTCTTTCCCGTCTCTTGCCGTGTCCCCACTAGTCTCTCCCGAGGTCGGTGCTAGTCTCTCCCAGGGTCTGCGCTCCATATCTTCCCGGGGTTCAAAATATTTCAAGATAAATCTCATAATATTTCAAGTTTGTTTTTGTAATATTTCAAGATGAATCTCAATCTAATTGAAACTTTTTTTTTTTTAAAGGAGCTATAACACTGTTGTAATAGTCCTATGATGTTTTCTTAATATACAGTGATATTAACATCAAACAATGTATTATGTGCATTACTGTGTTTTAAATACAACTCTGTGCCTTCATTGTCTGCCTGTTTTGTGTTTGTGTGGACAGTTGAGCGAGAGGCCGACTGTTGCAGAGCTTCAGGCCCGAAAAATCTTGCGCTTTCATGAGTATGTGGAGGTGACAGACGCACAGGACTACGACCGGCGAGCCGACAAGCCCTGGACTAAGCTGACCCCAGCAGACAAGGTCCAGCCTCTGCTCCTGGAGCTCTGGGGGAATATGGGCTAGACTGTTTACATCTGTGCTCTTGTTTCAGGCTGCCATCCGGAAAGAGCTCAACGACTACAAAAGCACTGAGATGGAGGTCCATGAAGAAAGCCGAATGTATACGAGGTAGAGCTTATGGCATTTGGAAACAGAAATTATTTAGACTCAGCCATTTTCATTGTTGAATTCAATCTTAGGTTTCAAAATAAAAAAGAACAGGTTACAAGTTACCATTAATTTTAGTCTCATTCCCGGATGGAGCTGAGCAGACCCCGGACCGAGATATACCATCCCAATGGTTGGGCGTCGATAGGAGTTGTAGATACTCTAGTTAGATAGATAGATAGATAGATACAAACAAAACAAATAAAATAGTTATTCTAAAATCTAACACTTCAGGTACTGTAACAGCAGCAGATGGGGAGTAGCCTCTTGGTCCGGACCATTTTCTCTGCTCTTGTCCAAAGTGGCATGGCAGAGTGGATAGCACTCTCGCCTCTCAGCAAGAAGGTTATGGGTTCGAAATCCTGGTCGGAACAGGGCCTTTCTGAGTGGAGTTTGCATGTTCTCCCTGTGTCTGCGTAGGTTTCCTCCAGGTACTCTGGTTTCCCCTAGCACTAAAAACATGAACAATAGTTCAGGGTGAATGAATGAGTGTATGTTTGTGAGTGTGATTGTGGGACAACGGATGCAAATTAGCCCACAGCTACAATCTGGAGTGATGTGTTAATTAACATGTTAACAGGGGGGTGTGCATTTGCGCAGCATTCATGCAACTAATGTTGGAGCGGTCTAACAACAAGCTTTCAGCCTAACTGGGTTGACAACAGCCAGCTGAATGTGGTTGATGTATCTTGGCCTAGATACACAGGAGGAGCTCGTAGTAGAGCCACTACTAGAAGAGCGAGGAGGAGGCCTTCCTGGGAAGGTGTTCAATGAGCCCCCGTAACAGGCCCAGGACACGTGCGTCTATGTTTCTCAGCTGGCCTGAGCTGGCCGGGTATTTATGCTACAAATAACACAATATTTTGTTAAGATAAATTAAGATAAACTTTATTCATCTCACAATGGAGAAATTTACATAGATTTTGGCACACATTTGGCATAGATAGAATCACTCAGATTGTGCAAAAGATAGAAGTTTGCAAACATGTTAAGGTTAAAAATACAGTCTGTGCAGGATAATAAGATAAGAGATCCTGTAAACATCCCACAGTCAGTCGGGAAATTTCAATTTTGCAGCGCACATACAGAACAGTAGTAAGAGCACACAGTGAGCACACAAAATATACAAAATTAGTAAGTAGCTGGCTATGTTTCTTAGCTTGTGGTAAAGGCTGTAAATGCTTCAATACCAGTCTTTCAAAATATATATTTATAAATAAAGTGCGGAGTTATATACTGTACACATAGGGCAGGATAATAAGTAGATAAACTAAAGTGACATTCTTGCAATAAGGGTGCCTCAGTCTTCCACTGAAGGAGCTCCTCAGCTCCTCTACAGTCCTGTGCAGTGGGTGGGAGGTATTGTTCATGATTGAGGTGACTTTGGCTAGCACCCTCCTGTCCCTCACCTCCTCCACAGAGTCCAGGGAGCAGCCCAGAGTGGAGCTGGCCCTCCTGACCAGCTTGTTCAGTCTACTCCTGTCCCGCTCTGTGCTGCCTGGGGCCCAGCACACGGCAGCGTAGTAAATGGCAGAAGCTACCACAGAGTCATAAAAGGTCCTGAGCAGAGGTCTTCTCACTTCAAAGGACTGCAGCCTCCTCAGAAGGTGGAGGCAACTTTGGCCCTTCTTGTACGGGCGTTGGTGTTGTGGGACCAGTCCAGTTTATTGTTCATGTGAACACCCAGGTACTTGAAGCTGTCCACCAGCTCAATGTCCTCCCCCTGGATGTTCAGCGGTGCGTGGGATAGTGGTTTCCTCCTGAAGTTGATTACCATCTCCTTACTGGTGTTCAAGCACAGTACACGCACAAGCTATTTTAAATAACAATTCATTGTTCTACTCTTTCAGTCAGACCATTTTTATTTTCAGGTTTCATCGACCGTAGACTCCTCCTTTGTGGAACTCGCACAAACGTTTTCAGCAGCACTGGTCGCCATCTGTGGGCAGAACATAGACTCTGTACAAACCATCAGCTCTGGGACTGAAGGACAAAGTCTTTGGAGAGTCTAAAGGAAGGGTCTGTGACAAGTCTGAAGAGTGCTTCTCGCTTCTGCCCATCTGTCTCCCCTCTTTAAGCCTTCATTACACTGTTGGAGCCATGGTGTTTGGGGCTGGAGTGTGGAGCTGGTGTTTGAAGTACGAATGGTGTGATGCAGTATTCCTCCAGCAGGTGGCGTTGTGTGCTCTCACAGAGGCAGAAGACCTATAGGGCTCGCTCTGGTGCCTCAGGGACTGAACCACTGATGCAGCCTCATTCTGTGTTGCCTTTTTCCATGGAACTGCTCGTTCATTCTATTAGTAATAACTCAAATATGTTGAATAGTAATAACAAATAGAACTGCTGCTGCTTTGAATGAAAGCACGTGGAACACAAACTGTATTTGGAGTAATGTTTAGAAATGTGTACAGACTGATACTTGATACAATGACACTTGGAAAGATTTAATTTAACTATTGTGTAAAGCACAAAATGCATTTATTATTGACCTTTGGGCCAAACTGTTAGTAATAGATCATATGGAAGCCTTTGCTATTTGCCTATTTATTATATTAGCGGTGTTGTGAGTGCGGGGCGGTTCACGTTTGTTTGTGCCAATTTTGACGCCTAGATTGCAATACGGATCAGCATGAGGCTCGCAGAGTCTGAAGACTGCAGGATTAAGAGCAACCCAAACAAGACGTCATTTGGAAGTCCTTCAAAGACAAAACATTGAATGACATGAAGATTCTTGGATTAGAGAAAATATCTGGATTTAAGTAAATTTGTTTTAAAGCTAGGGTACCCAATTTTAAAACCACAACAATCCAACTATGTAATAGAATCCATTTAGCTTTTTTTCTGGCCTTCCAGTTGATTTTGGCCTCAGTCACAACTTTTGAGCTTTCAGCTTTTTCAGAAAAGTTAAAAAACAGCCCTCACTCAGCCAATCAGCTCTCAGCCCAAAGCAATAAATAATGACTCACAGGGTTCTTCCAAGTATGCAAAATGAGTGTTATTGTATACAGATGTCTACAAATGTTTTCCAAAGTCGAGTTTGTATCTTAGTTTGTTTTAAAATATGTGTTAAATCTAATCACTAGCGTTATGTAGAATTCTTGGGGGGTTTTTGACAAAATTCTGCAGCCCTGTAGCTCAGAGCCTCATCCTGGATCCTTAACAATGTTTTCCCTTTAAATGCAATGGGTTCTAGTCTTTCTGAACTTACAACATGAACACGACAATTCAAGTTTGTTAATGAATCTCCGTAGTCCCGCCTCTAAAGGCTCCGGAAGTCAAATCCACCTTTCTTTGAGGCCGTAATTATATATTTGATACTGCAACTACCAGCTGTGTGGTTATTAGACAATCACAAAGTCAGAGGTAGGTGAAAAAACCATGTTTGAGGTCCTGTGATGATACTGCAAGGTTTTTTATTGATTGTGAGCTTAACATTCCTCCACATACAGCAAACTACATATATTGTTTTGGCAAATGTAATGATTGTGTGCAACCATGACATAGATAATGTCAAATCAAAATTGTCTTTAAAAACTTGTTGCCAAGATATGCTGCCGCTGTGTAACATTATGACTAACAGAGGTTGTTTTTTTCTTTGCCTTTTCCTTAACATTATGTTTTATATTCTTATTTAAATAAAACATTTTATGGTCTCAAATGACTGCGTAGCTGATGTGCAGCATTAGCCTTTAACTTTAACTCATTAAAATTTTAATTTTTGGTGGTTCATGGGCTCATAGAAAGGCAATTTTTTTCTTTTGGACGTCAGCGACTGGACCAGTCGAGGTGGGACTACGAAGCTCTATAGGTTAAGTGTATTTGACAGTCTTTCTGTGGGAGTCTACGACACTGTCCACTCACACAGGGCTTTTTTCCGGCTGCAGCCTTTAGTTTGGATAATGTATATGTATATTTTGTCTTGTATTTAAAGGCAAAATTTTAAATTAAATACTTGATAGGTATTCAAATTTTTTAAGCTAAGGTTTTTAGTTTGTGTTTCTGTAAAGCTTGTATTACTGAATGTTAAAATGTAAAGAAATGACATATTTCTTTTGTAAATATTTGCCTTGAATATAATAAAATCTATTTCTTTGTCCGTTATACTGTTTTACGTATGCCTTTGATTTAGGAAGTAATTCAACATTGGTCTTTTTGTACTATTCCCATTCATTCTGAATAGATTACTGATTGTGAGTAAGATAAGATCAGATCAAGTTTATTGATTTCATAATGGAGAAATTTAAATGTCACATTTGGCATTGATAGAATCACTCAGGGTGTGCAAAATGACTGGACATGTGCAAACACGTTAACATTTGCAAATATAGTCTCTTTTGTGCAAGCTATATTGGTTACAATAAAAGCAATAGTGACTTTGTGCTGGTTTTCATAAATAAGATTTATGTGGGCTACCAAGAAATATGATCATTTTAAAGCTAATTCTCTCAAGAAAACAAGGAAATAATTCATTCCATAATAATAGTTTCTTTATCAACCTCCAATAACAAATCTTCTTACTTTCCTCTGGAAGGTTCTGGACAATGGAGGTTGGGAACCACTGCCCTATACTTAACACAATTGATGTGATCAATAGGAAGCGGTCATGTATAGCAGTATATTTCAGAAGCTGCCAATGCAACTCTGCGGGAAAATGTATAGCTGCCCTTCACTACAATGTTAAACTATAGGCTCTTTGCAATGTTGCGATGTCACATGGACGCAATCTGTACAAAAGTAACTTGTTATTGTAATATATCGAAAATATAAAGCAATTATGACATTATTATCTGCAAGGCGAGTACGGGTTTGTATGAAAAAACTTCCATGAGGCGCTGCGACGCTTAGTGGCTCAAAACAGTATCGTCTCTGAGCTCTCCTTTTTTTTCCCTCGCCACAGCTTGTTATTAAATACAGGAGCAAATATGTTGTTCCTTATCATATAAAATGCGTATTCATATCTTAGACATTTCTTTTGTTATCAAGCTTACATTCACAAAATGTAACTTTAAAATCTATTCTTTATTTTGTATTTTTGTATTGTTTATTTGTCCAAGTTAAACAATCAGTGTGATATAGAAAAACATCAGTGTGATTCTATTCTTTCAACTAGGGGAGCATTGACTGATCCCGAGTTTCTTAGTTGGATTTTTGGAGTTGAGCAGCGTTCATTTCCTTTTTTCCGAGTGGGAAGTCGAACACCAGAGTTTCCGAGATCACTTGAAAGCGACGTCGGCTTAAATTGTGACGCAGGGAGAGTGATCCGGAAGTAGCGGCACGTTCCTCGCGCTTGTGACAAAACTCCAATAACTTCTGATTTATCCTGGTCTGTGAGCTTTTTGTTGTTCTTTTTTGTAATTTGTAAAAGTAACCCATTCTCTAACAATAACACTTTGTCACATTTTATCATCTGCTGTGCTTCTTTTTAATTCTTATGAGCAGATGTTTGTGTTAGCTTAGCATGTCGGCGCATGAGTGTTCATAATAGCAGGGTTTTTTATATGGAAGCTAAAGCTATATATCCGTATCTAGTATGTTGTCTATAATGAAGACCCAACAGAAAAGACAATAGTATTTCATAAAATGCAGTATTTTGGTTAAATCATGTTTCATCCATGTATTTTGGGTATATGAACTATGAAAGCTTGCCTAAATCGTACCATTATTGTATATACTGCAATGAAACAAGTTGCAAATGCGTGAATACCACATTTTAATGCTGCTAATCTTGTAGAACAACATTTGTGTTGTAGAACAAAATTGAGTATTCACTTTCCATTTCAGATTCCAACTATTTGTAGAAAATTCAAAATTGTTCTGCCATTATGCATTTAGTTTTTAAAGTATGTTGTTTACAAACGGACCACAACATTCATTTATTTTATATTGAAACATTTGCATACTTGCACAGACCCCAGGGAGTCACTCTTGACTTGTTTTGTCTATAAGAAATTGGTCTTCTTTTCAGTAAAGATTTGACAGGGGGAAAAATATTACCTATTTTGTGAAATACGGCTTTTTTCTGTATTTGGTTTGTTTTTGGCTTTTTTAATATTAGTGCAGTACCATAGTGTCCGTCTGTATACGTTGGATGATCAAACCCAAAACTCAGAAAAATGAATAACAGGTATGGCCCAGTATAAAATAAACCACTTTATACTGTATGATTCCAGCTCTGAGTCACACCACCTCACAGTCCTCTTTGAGTCTGTGTTAAAAATATTAATCAGTTTCGGTATTAATTGCTATGCCCTGGCTTCTGTTTACCTTAACTGGAGTCGAATGTCTTTATGGGCTTGATCCTATTGTGCAGAAACTTACCACTGGTTTATCTGCTCCCACTCCAGAGGGAGACAGCTGAAGGGGCCAGCTGCTATGGGACAGATGCTGCTGTCTCTGCTCCCATTTGCCACATTTGCTGTTGTGTTGTCAAATCTGTGCATCATTTTGTTGCAGTATTCTATTTAACCCTAACCCACAAAATTGTATGCTTTATTTTTGGCATCTAAACGTGATAAGAACAATTACGTTGAGTAATTCTCACTAATTTGCAACCAATACTTTTAATTCAAAAGTCATAGAACAACTCTGAACATGAATGAATAGTGGAAAAGATTCATAATATCATAGCGTACCTGTTTTGAGACTGAACCATTTAGACAGAAGAGGCAGGGGTAGGAAACTGGGTCTATTTTTAATGAGGAGTAGTTTTGAAACATGTTTAAATCATTGATGGATTTGCAGAATGTTGCCACTTAATTTGCCTGGTACGGAAGCTTGTTAGGTTCACTTGTGAGTGTGTTTTTTTTCCCGCTGGTATCATGTTATTTCATGATACTTTCATGAAATATCATGTTATTTCATGATACACAACTATCATGTTATTTCATGATACCAGTTTATCATGAAATAACATGATACTGTAGATACAGAAGAAGAAGCTGTCAGCTTCTGATAAATTGGTATCATGAAATAACATGATAGTTGTGTATCATGAAATAACATGATAGTTGTGTTTCATGAAATAACATGATAGTTGTGTTTCATGAAATAACATGATAGTTGTGTTTCATGAAATAACATGATAGTTGTGTTTCATGAAATAACATGATAGTTGTGTATCATGAAATAACATGATAGTTGTGTTTCATGAAATAACATGATAGTTGTGTATCATGAAATAACATGATATTTATCATGTTATTTCATGAAAGTATCATGAAATAACATGATACCAGCGGGAAAAAAACACACTCACAAGTGAACCTAACAAGCTTCCGTAGCCTGGAGTTGTTAACTTCTCAAAGATGGTTATTTTATTCACAGAGGTGTTGCTGTCATGCCTGCCAAAAAAGGAGCACCAAAGAGAAAGTCAGAGGTTATTGATGAAGATCAAGATGCCAAGAAGGCCAAAGGTTATTCTATTACAATTCTACTTTGGCTAGTGTTGTCATTTCAAAGCACGGTGATGTTATAAGTGACTATTTCTATTAATAAAATGCAGAGATTGGGCTTTTTTGGTCAATATGAAGAATCACACTTTAATTTTTCTTTGTATATTTAGATATAGATTTTTTTAGGGAAAACCCCTTGAGATGCAGCATCTCATTTTTGAGGGGGTCCCATGAACATAAAACAAACAAATACAATACATATAATACAGTACAATACAAACAATTAACATTTATACATTTAACACACACAGGTTTGCTCCCTCAGATCCACCTCCTACTATAAGAACACATTCAAAAAACATATACATCATTACTGTATACAATATAGTCAAATACAGGCCATACATACTGCGAGTGATGGAATAATACAACTTAAAATATACATCCAGATATTACAAAATTATTTAAAAAAATATATAATAATATTTATATGTGGCTGTGTTTTGTCTGTCTATTGGAACTGTTTTTAAGGAATCATACTTGTACCAGTTCTTATAAATTACTTTTTAGCAACCCTATTCTTCACAACAAAAGAAATTTATGAGATGGTTTTTTTCTCCTTTGCCCTTTAGTTGAATGCTTTTTGTTTGTTGTCAGTCTCTCATAGCAGCCACGGCACCGAGTCCGGCCTGGTGCTGGTTCTTGGCCAGGGGGATGTGGGACAGCTGGGTCTGGGTGAGAACGTGATGGAGAGAAAGAAGCCTGCGCTGGTCTCCCTCCCAGAGCCCATGGTGCAGGTCGTGGCTGGAGGAATGCACAGCGTGTGTCTCAGTGAGGCTGGTCATGTAAGTCTGATTTTTAGAGATCTTCTCAGAAAAGAATTTTTAAGGTTACAGTGGAATCATGTTCAAGTTGCGAATCAAAGTATAGTGACCACCTCCGTTTACAGTCCTGCCCATTGGTCTGTGCTCTTCCGCTTCACATGGCATCCGCATAAACCTGGTTACAGCGCCACTCTTTTTTTTTTTTTGTCTTTGACCAAACATTCTAGGACAATGCTGCTGAATCATCAGCATATCACAGATTCAGAAGACAATCCCCAAATGTTTTAATCTATGCCACTTTATGTGCCAGAAGTCACTATAGCATGCATGATATTTCATTCATGATGAAAGAAAAGGACAAAAACCTTAGTGGCATTCAATTGTCTGGCCCCCTAGTGGACATCAAAGTTTAAAGGTTCCATACTGCGCTATTTTTCATGTTTCACAGTCCATCCTATGCACATGTGTGATAATAATTTGAGTGAATCACCATACAGCACAAATTATCTTGTCTGAGCTCTCCTCCCCCCGCCTGCACGGTGACAAAGCTTTGCGCTGAGTTGTTTATCTCCAAAGTAAACTCTTTCAGCTTCACCCCGTACATAGTCATTTCAGACCTGAAAATAAACTTTTTCCAACCATGGCAATCCATCACACCGAGCCCTCAATCCAGAATCAGTAAGTCCAGTACCATGGTAACCGTAGTTCTGGAACAGTCTTAGAATATGTTCATCACACTACACTATCAAACAGAAGTCGATCCCAGTGAAAAAAGTTGAGCCACATTCTTCCTCTTTGGGCCAAATAGTGCATCACATATTTACACCCAAAAACACCTTTTCTCTAAGTTGACATGATCCTAACACACTTAGTCTCTGACAAAAGCAGAAAAACTGCATAGCTCCATGTGGTGGACGCAGGACCATACCACATACGACTCGGGAGCTGGCTGTGCTCAGTGATTTGCTGTTTCAATTTGTCTACCTCCTAGATTTTAGTATTATTGTTTATTGTTTTTGACAACAAACGGAACATTTATTGTTTATTTAAGAACTTCTTTAAATAAAATAAAATCGCTTATACGCGTCATATTTGTCATTGATGTGGAAATTGTCATAGATTTGGACCTGGGCGTTTTGCTGCCACTCAAGAATGAAAGGGAAAGATCGCTCTCAAACTAAAGCTTGAAGGAATTAATTAAACTACTCTGGGCATGTGTACGAGGGCCACATAGCACTGTAATAATGTTTAAAGCAGAAAAAAAGTCAAAAAGCGTATTATAGCACCTTTTAATGTCAGTGTGGCCCCCACTGAGAGTTTGGGCTAATACAGCATGTTGTACATCAATTCAAATTTGATCAAAAAATGCATCCACATGTTTGTTATCAAAAACATTGTACGCGACCTTGTGATCTAGATCTATAGAACAAAATGAATTTGGAAGACCTCTGACTATCCAGTAGGGCTGGATTTTGTTCTGTTTTTGACAATTTGCGGACAAATTACTGCATGACACCAAGCCCACTTTTGAATTACTATTTCATAAGACATGTCTACTATCAAAGTATATTATTATTTATTGATTTGTGGCAAATGCAAAGTCTCAAATCTTTTGGTCCCTATAATGCCTTCATTTTTTTTGTCTCTATATGGACCCTTTGTGTGTCTGAATTAAAGATGATAAAAATAAAAAAAAATAAAAAATTACATCTTCCTAATTAGTGAATATTACTAAAGATGACTTCATATTCTCAAACATGACTATCCCCTGGATCATGTTTATATAACTGGCTTGTATAATGTTTCTGTTGGAAGGTCTACACGTTTGGCTGTAACGATGAGGGCGCGCTGGGACGGGACACTGCGGAGGAGGGCACAGAGACGCACCCCGCCCGAGTGGAGCTGGGAGAGAAGGTGGTCCAGGTGTCTGCAGGGGACAGCCACTCAGCCGCACTCACTGAGGACGGGCTGGTGTATATGTGGGGCTCCTTCAGGGTGAGTTTGCCTGAGCTGGGGCTGTGTGATAACCATGAGGTCTGGTGTACGTGTGGGGCTCCTTCAGGGGCAGTGTTATGCTGTGTCAGCAGGAGAAAAGAGAGGTGAACGCTTTCTGGGCTATCAGTATGTAAATTATAAAAATAAAAAGATGAAGAAGGTGTATCCAGGTTTGTTACATTTGTGGCATGGTTGTGACCAAGAAAAGTGCGTATGATCTAGTTCTTGTTCTGTTTAGTAGTAAAATACTCCTAATACTGATTCTCAAATGTTCTGTTTACAGGACAATAATGGTGTTATTGGTCTCCTGGAGCCGTTCAAAACCTGCACTCGTCCTTCAAAACTTCCCCTTGCAGAACCTGTTGTGAAAATTGCTTCTGGTAAAGACCATTCCTGTTTCAGAGTGGGGGTGCCCAAACGCTCATAATCAGCTGCCAAACTGAATATCTTTTACCTAGGGGTGGGCGATAACTATCGTAGGCAATAATATCGCGAAATATTGACGATAAGCTTTTTAACTTTACCCAGTATTAATAATGGCTCTATTTAACTTTTGCCACTTTGTATTTTTGCCTTCTCTGTGCCTTTTTGTGTGTCTGATTCAAGATGCGGCCCCCACTTATCTAGAAGCACAGATTTGTTTTAGGAGCACTTAGTTCATATATGCACTACACTGTGCCTTTTATGCACATTGAGTTTAGTCGAAATTGGCATGTTTGTATTTACAGTTTTTGGGGGGGGGGGTTATTTTTCTTGTAAAAATCTTGTTCTATATCAGAATCATTTTCATTTTTATTGCCACGTGAGTAACAAAGTTATCACTTGGAAATTGTCTTGGCAGAGAGCGTGCCACTTCGCCGTTTGCGGCGCTGTGTGCAGCAAGAAACGGCAGAGAGCAATAACATACAGTTCACAGACAATTGGATAGACACATTGTGCTTTTTATAAACCACGGATTTTTTTCTCGGGATGAGCACCTCCGGCGGCCGGCCCAATGTAGCTGTCAGAGGGGGGCGGGATCAGGGAGGGGGTGAGTAGGAAAACAATAAGGAATGGAGGGGAGGGAGGGAGCAAGATGGATAGGTAGAGGGAGGCGGGGGTGAGGGATCCTTGCTGGAGACTGAAATAGTGTGAGTTGTTGTAGATTGTGGGACCTTGTTTATGGCCTTGGTCAAGGAATGTGAGATAAGAGTGGGGAGAAGACACAGCAGGAGAAACACACATCGCCTGAGAGGGACAATATTATATGCAATGTAGCATCAAAAGCAGGCAGATATTCTATTAATTCCAATTAAACCGAATTACGGCGCCCTCAGACCTCCGTACACAGGTGCAAATCCAAGCCGGGTCAGAGAGTTCAAGCCTGACAAACAATGTCAGGCTTGAACAATATATATACAACTTGTATATATATATATACAACTTGTATATATACAGGCTTGTATATATATATATATATACAACTTGTATATATATATACAACAATATATGTTGTATATCGAGATAGGAAAACAAATATCTCAATATATATTTTTCATTTCTCCAGGCCTATTTGTGTTTTTGAAAACCAAAAAAGAGCCTGTAGTAGTGAGGGCTCGATTGAAACGGGTCAAAATGCGCTTTTAGATTAACTTTAGCGGGATGCGTTTCAACCTACATGGTCTCCATCAGAGAATAATGGTTGAACAGTCTTCAATGATTTTTTTTATTTTTTATTCTAGCTTTTTGTAAAGACTTATTTTGCATACATACTGTGGACATGTGGACTGTGCGTATGTCGCCTATCTAGTCACCTGTTGTTTTTAAGCATAATGTTAATCCTTTTTAAAATCTTACATTCTCTCCGGTTTTTAAAATGTTGCAGATATTAAAACAATCAGATGGTTGTATCTTGATCTCCTTTCATGTAGGTAACGACCACCTTGTAATGTTAACGCTGGATGGAAACCTGTTCACGTGTGGCTGTGCGGAGCAGGGACAGCTGGGCCGAGTCCCAGAACATTTCTCAAACAGAGGAGGCCGGCAGGGACTAAGTAAGCCCATGTGGACTGAGATAATCCCCCACGCTGCCTTTTATCTGGCCTGGTTTAAAACTTCTGAATCCTCCAGGTCGCCTGCTGGTGCCGCAGATGGTGAAACTAAAAGGAAAAGTTCATTTTACCGATGCCTTCTGTGGGGCCTACCTCACTTTTGCCATTTCTAAGGAGGGATACGTGTACGGGTTTGGTCTATCAAACTATCACCAGCTTGGTACGTCATCCTCCAGTGGTATAGTATGATTGCATGAATGTTTGGACCCTCACATACCGAACTTTCAGGCACTAAAAGCACAAAGATGTGTTACGTCCCGGTAAAGCTGACGTGCTTCAAGAACTCCACCACGTCCTGGGTGCAATTCGCAGGCGGACAGCACCACACACTCTGTCTGGATGCACAAGGTAAGCTAGACCTGAACTCTGGCCACACAAACGCGGTGGGACAGACACTACACAGCCTTCATTTTCACTAAATATTAAATGTAAAACCGGGGTAGTCACGTTTCCTGCAGGTTTGCTCTGGGTGTTCATGCTTTCCCTCCAACTAAAAAAATGATGGCACAAATATTTTAGGGTTTTTCAGATGGAAAAGTAAAGCGGACCACCCTCACTTAACCAATCAGCTCTCAGCTTAAGGTGCCAAATAGTGGCTCACAGGTTTAACACGTTTTCAAATCAGATGAGGACAGTGTGGTCTGATTTTGTTAACCTTTTTTTTTCTAATGTAGGACAATAAAATGTCTTTATTTTTTCAAAAGGCTGCTACTCCTTTTTTAATTGGATTTTAATTACCGTTTACTAAAGTTTCAGACATTTGGGAAACTACATCACGTGAGTTACGCAAACTGAGAGTAAACCTGAACCCGAATGCAAAAGCCTGACTAAAGCTCTCACACAGGCACACATGCCACATTCGCTTAACCACAGTGTACTATGTGCTGCTCGTTACTTTGCCTCTCCACACAAGCTGTGCACTATGGCGTATTCAACTGCCATTGAATCGGCTTTCTCATATATTTTCACACTTTGCCAAACGCAGTCCACCATTGTGTTACTTTGAGTGGGTGATGCATGTGTGAAAATCAAATGCTCACTCAGGTGGCTGAGTCCATGTATGCATCCAAAACATGCAGAATGAGTTGGAGCTGCACCATGATTTTTCCAGCTGTCCTTGGATCTAGCACGCAGGCAGGCATGCTGCACTGTCCATAACTAATCCCTGGTTCTCTGGTCCGTCAGGGCAGGTGTACAGTCTGGGCCGGGCGGAGTACGGCCGACTGGGGCTGGGCGAGGGAGCGGAGGAGAAGAGCGAGCCCACAGTGGTCTCATCGATGGAGCCGGTGTGCAGCGTGGCCTGTGGGGCATCTGTGAGCTACGCAGTCACCAAAGAAGGTCTGACACACAAACTACTGATACCGATGGAAACTGCAAGCTTACATGTTTTAACATTATTCCTATTGGCTCCGTGACGCAATATTGAGAGGGGTAATTCTTACATCTCTATATAGTGTTATATATTATCGTCTGAATGGGAAACTTCTAAAACATTTTAGTGGGTTTTTCAGTGTTTGTAAACTTGTGGTTCTCACTGTACCTCAAGGTACAGTGGGTGCATTTAGGTTTTATTAAAGACATCCATACAAGTATATGCTCTTTGGCTGAGATGTGGTCTGTCCCTGCTCTAGGCTCGCTGTACTCCTGGGGGATGGGCACCAACCTGCAGCTGGGCACCGGGGAGGAGGACGACGAGTGGAGCCCTGTGAAAATGTCGGGGAAGCAGCTGGAAAACCGCACAGTACTGATGGTGTCCAGTGGAGGGCAGCACACGGCACTGCTAGTCAAAGACAAACCCCAGAGCAGCTGATGCAGGCACACACTCTCCTCCGGCTGCATCCGAATCCAAACCAAATGTTTCCTTTTAGCATACTTTGTCCAGTCGCCTCCAGGAGATCTAAAGGGAGACGTATTTTGTGAAATTGACTTTTATACTTGACATAAACCGCCAGTTCTGTCTAACTGCTCCACTTAGAAACTTGCACTACACTGCTAAAAATAACATTATTAACAAAAAATGTAATTAAATTGATCCTGTTTTAGTACATTTCTTCCTTAGTTTTCTGTATGCAAATTCTCAAGGGACTTTATACCGCCCTTGAAATAAGACAGTTACCTACCTCAATAGTTTTAAAGGTGATGTCAGCCTCTTCAATTATACTTCTATTTTAATCATATGGTCCTGTACTGTTGTGCAAATTAAGTATGTTTTTTTTGTCTCTACAACTATGTGCCTTCAAATTGATCGTGCCATGTTGTTTATTAATCAGGCAGAATGCACTAGAGATGCATGTTGCACTAGATATGAATGTTGCTGTATATTTTCAACTTAAATTATTTGACACTCTTAAACATGAAATGCCAGCATGAAGAGAAATGATGCATAATCTTTTGGTAATTCGCTTCCAGTCATCTAGCTACTAGGACAGGCTTCAAAATACATTACTAAATGAATGCCTCACGGTGTTGATACCTCTAAGCTTTAAACTGTAGCTTTTAGTGAGATATTGGAGCTTGTGATCAAAGGAAGGAGGTGTTACTGGCTTCGGATGCAGCCTTTGCGCTCTTCATCAGGGCTTTGGTTCGTGTAATGTGTATACGACGGGTTCTTTTCACCATTTCGAACTAATGCTGAACACTGAATTGTTTTTCTTTGAAGTTGCGGCAAATAACTATTCTTTACTTCTCAATAACAACATTAATATTTTAACCACTGCATGCATTTTTAGTAACATTTTTGTAGACATGCAAGACTCCTATGAGTGAATAGATTCCTCTTTGAGTTAAAAGAATTGGCCAAGTGAGGTTGATTATCAATATGAGTAATGGTGGTTATTAGAGTTGAAAAATCTGGGACCACAGCTGTGAGTTTGAAATTATATTGAAGATAAAGTGACAGTCATCACTGAGCACAAATCACACAATTCGACTGTAAATGAAACGTGATGAAGATGTGGTTTCATTTTTCAAGTCATAACTATTGTGGACCTTGGACAAGTTTCTGGCCTGTGTTATGCAGTTCATGTCCAACCTAGAAGTAAAATTTTAACCGGAGAGGGAAAAGTAGGAATACCTGTCATAAGCACTTTGATCATCGCAGTGATCAAAGTTATGAAGCAAGAGGCTATAGAGCAGGACAACAAAACCTAGTTTTTTTAAAAGTTTTTTTTATTTTATAGATGCCTTGTGAAAGTGTAAAAGATGGTGCAGCCTCGAGCATGCATGCTGAGTCACTGCTGCCCTTTTTAACAAAGACGAGCTGCATTTTAGATATTTAAAGCAATAACTGGGATTTTTTGGTTTGGATAGGTGTTGAATCTACTGCGTGGTGTTCTGAGACATTTTGTAACTTGTTATAATCCAGAATAGTGTCCAGTATCCTGTCTAAAAATAAAGTTTTACGTTTTTAACACTCTTGTTTGGCTTTTATGACTTTATGAAAGCTGGTATAGTCTTTTTTTTTTTTTCCCCTTGGCACACTTTTTCTTCATAAACCTATCCTCCTTGGGTCAAATTGACTCGCCATAGTGATTAACAATATTTAGACCCTAATTAACTTTGAAGCACTGTGGTGGGTCATTTTGACCCAAGGATGGCAGAAGGGTTTTAAATAATATATCTATATATATATATATATATATATATAAATAATATCGTGTCTTTAATTCAGACAGAAGACATGTTTTATTGTTGATGGTAGAGCACGAACACGAACAAGGGATGTCAGCAAGTGGTAATATACTCAGGAGAAACAGACCTCCAATCAGCAGCTCCCACGGTGTGCTTGTAGCTTGGCCTTCCATCCATCCATCCATTTTCTACCCTTTAATCCATTTCTGGGTCAGGGGGGTGGCAATCAGAGATGCCATCCAAGTCTCATAGCCCCTCACTGACCCTCTGCAGGTGGTGAGTCCACAGGAGGACAGCGGCTCTCTGAGTGTGAGCATAGCCTTGATCTTTCAGTGGGGGCTTTGGGCAAAGTGGGGTTAAGTGTCTTGCGCAAGGACACAACGACATCAGTCATCAGTGGGAGTCGGTGGAGAAGGTGTAGAGGTGGGAATTGAACCCCCGACCTTCAGGCCTGAAGGCCAATGCTCTACCAACTGAGCTACTGTCGCTTGGCCTTCAGATAGACAAAACATCAAATGGAAAAGTACAAGCTTCTGCACATTGGTAGAATGATGAGTTTAACTTTAACAAAAAGTGCTTCAAAGTGTCTCACAGTAGCAATATGTAATATTTGCATGTCAAGTTATTAAATGGCCCCAATATTTCAAAAGGCATTAAACTTTTCGAATACATCTTTAACTGATAACAGTTCAGCCGAGATATTTGAATATCAAAATTAGTTTTACGACCCGTAAAAGTTATTGTTTTCATTCCGATGTCCTACCCTCCGCCGTTTCACCAATCAGGAATTCCCATGGAAGTCCGTGATCCGGGTGGCCAGCATGGGTCTATTATAATAATTGGATAGCTTGGAGCTGAAGAACCCACATGCTCAGGGGATTCTTGCGGGACTGCAGACTAAACCAGACCAAGGCTGCGGTCACATGCGCAGCCTAAAGCCCGGTTTAAGTGGGCCAGGGCCCGATTAGGGATTAGATCCGGGCTTTAGGTGCATTGTGACCGCGGCTTGTGTGCCTGGGCACAATTGCATTAACCGCGCCCAGGCTCGATTAAAGACGTGGGCCTGAGCACCCTTTCCAGCGCGGATGAGGGGGGTCAGTGTAGGGAGTGGTGGGGAGTGGGGACGTGATATTGTGCGTCACATCACGTCTTCCTGTGACACGCGTTTTTGTATTCTCCGCTTGTGTTAAACCTTTCATAAAAGCCCCCGGACCGTGGTCAAGGGGCACTGGGGAGTGTGTGGCTGCGCTGCAGGGCCAAACCTATGCCAAACCTATGTGACAGTGCCCTAAATTCACGTGGGCTACCTAGAAATGTTCCCCATGGTGGCCTAATGGTTAAGCAACAGAGCTTACATTCCAGCGACCCGGGTTCATACCCGGGGAGAGTCTGTTTGTACTTAATTCTATAATATAACATTTTATGAAAGATTGCCTAAAAACAGGTAAAAGATAATAATCAAGATGTTTTTTTTGTGCAGATTATAGCTTATTTATAAACAGATTAATTTGAGACCACATGTACCCCAATTAAAAAAAATGTAGTCTCTTTTTGATGTGGGACTTACACATGTATGTCTAAAAAATAGGGAATAAATAAAATTGAGGGGTAATATCCACTAGAGGAAATACTGTATGTTCCAACATCCATTCTTCCCACTCCTATTTTTGACATTAATTGCTTATTTATTTTGCATAATCTATGTATATTTAAATTGCTTTTATTTTGTTTTTCTCATCTCAAATGTCCAAATAAAAAAGATTTAAAAAACAGTCATTCAAAACATTCAATCAACATTAGCACGGCTATCATGGCAATGTGAAGGGAGACAGACAAACAACTGATACAATAATTCCTTGCTGCTGGATTTGGTGTGTATCTGGCAACCTGAGTCAGGGAGAGTGGGAGAGGACTACAAAATATTGACTGTGACTGCAGTACCACTTTTGGCCAGATTTTTACACAATGCTCCTTTAACAGTGTGTTAATATTAAAACAAATAAAATCAGACCACTTGTTCATCAGAAACATCACATTTGCATACTTATAAGAGATGTTAATAACTGTATATGTGGTACAATGGCTATAGAGGTCTGTGTTGAAGGTGCGCATGCTCTTGATGAGTAGCCAAGCCCCGGACGAGCTGGATAGGGAAGTGTGGGCGTCTCTGCTTAGACTGCTGCCCCCGCGACCCGGCAACGGATGAAGCGGAAGAAAATGGATGGATGGATGGATGGAAGTTTGACGGAGAGAAACTGCGAGACCACACACGTCATGAAACAGGAACTTGCATTATTTGGAAGCGGAGCTTACATATATGACACAGGTGAGGTCAGAGGTCAATCGTTAATACAAAACATAGGCCCTGTCCCAATACTCACACTTCCAACCTTTTCTATGGTTTTTGATATAACGGGAAGAAGACTAATTGGTCTGTAATTGTTGGCGTCTTTTTTATTTCCTTCTTTGTGGATTGGAATGATAGTGGCTGTTTTAAGTGTGACAGCGAATGTCTTTTCAGTTATGAGATTTTTATGAGTAAAGTGTCCATACCATGTATGTCCTTAGACCTAGAGCTTGATAATGTGGAGAGAATTTTGTTAACTTTTGTTTCATTTGTTACTTCTAAAATGAGTCCGTTATGATTAAATGCAAATTCGTTGTAATGGTTTTGTGGAAAGCTCTTGTCACAGTGCTCCCGCAGACTCCCTTTTTTAAAGCCTAGTGTATACTTGCGCGGCGAGGCTTACGTTAGCGGTTGCGGTGGACCTACGTAAGCACAATTGATATTATACTGGCGCGTTCCCCTTACGGAGTTTTGAGGAGAATGTTGTAATTCCACAACAAACCACATGAGGGCGATCACACAGGAGCGGTCCCATTTACGCTGCTACTTTGTCCTCTTCAGAGCAACAATAGCAAACAAAGCTGTTTGAGCTCATTACATGTGTTTCTACTGTAGGTTTATCAATCAATCAATCAATCTTTATTTATAGGGCGCTTTTCCTGCACAGGGCAACACAAAGCGCCTCACAGTCCACACCACACAATGCACAAATCATCACCATTAAATTACAATTAAAAACACATATGTAATTAAAAAGCATTAAAATCACATAAGTAATTTAAAAACATAAGAATCACACAAGTAATTAAAAACAATAAAATAGTTAAAAACACAAAAAGTTACAACAATAAATAACAAGGTGTGTTAAAAAGATAAAATTCTCTAGTTGTATGCACAGGAAAAAAGAAAAGTCTTTAACATGGATTTGAACATTGACAGAGAGGCAGCCAGTCTCACATCCTCAGGAAGACTGTTCCAGACTTTAGCTGCATAAATCTGAAAAGCAGCCTCCCCCTGTCTAGTCCTGACTCTGGGCACTAACAGGAGTCCCGTCCCTGCGCTCCTCAGAGTCCGGGCTGGTTCATATGGGACTAGCATATCATGGATGTACTTTGGTGCAAGGCCATGGAGAGACTTGTACACCAGGAGAGCTGCTTTAAAGTCTATCCTCTGGGCCACGGGAAGCCAGTGCAGAGACCTGAGGACCGGACTAATGTGGTCGTACTTCCTGGTTCTAGTCAGGACTCGGGCTGCAGCATTTTGAATATACTGCAGCTGTTTTACTGCATGTTTGGAGATACCTGTGAGCAGGCCATTGCAGTAATCCAGCCTACTGGAAACAAAAGAATGGATAAGAATCTCCAAGTCTGCCCTGGACACAATATTTTTAATTTTGGCAATATTTTTCAGATGATAAAAAGCTGCTGATGTTACCGATCCAATGTGGCTATTGAAGTTTAAGTCAGAGTCCATTATTACTCCCAGATTTCTGACCTTATTTAAAGGCCTTAGGGAGAGAGACTGAAGGTGACAAATGACGGTCTCTCTTTGTTTCTCGGGACCAAAGACAATCATTTCGGTTTTGTCCGCATTTAGCTGGAGAAAAATGTGATAGTTTTATGGATTCATTATTTTATAAGTCATTTCAACTGTGATGCTGTGAATAAAGACACTGTTCTTGTTGGAAACATAGTTATTATTAAATAGTTTTCAGCACAAACAGCAAAACAATAATAGTGGTAAATATCTGAGACAAACATGAACGATTCACGAGTGCAGGAGGAAAGCAACAAACGCAGCTACGATTCAAACAAAGACAGGAACAGTGCAAAACAAACGACTGCACAGTTTATAAGTTATATATATGTTAGATAGTCCACTGTCTCCTGTATATCAGGCTCTGAGCCCAAACTGCTTTTCCTTCGAAGCACAAAGCTCTCTGCTCCATAGTGCCTCGTCCATGCTCCTGCTGCAGCCGCTTCATGCTTCCTTCCAATACACACACACGGACCAATCACAGCGGAGATTCCTTGCGGCGACCCTTACGTAGTTAGAAAATTTCGATGCTGCGCGGCAGGCGACGTAAGGGCCTTGCGGTGACCAACGCGTTGCGCAAGTGACGTCACGTCACCTCCGTAAGCTCCGCGCCGCGCGAGTATAAACTAGGCTTTATCATAGTCTATACATCCCCAGACTTACGCCCAGGTGTCAGACTAAATAGCTGGTAACGCCCCTCTGTCCCGGGACACCCGTATTGGACGTCACAGCCCATAGGATAGGTTTAAAAAGGGGGGAGGAGGAATGTACAGGAGGAGAAGCCGGAGTAGAACTTGGGACATATGCAGAGTAAAACGCCGGTTTGAGACGGATCATCGACCTGGGACTCGGGAGCTGGAGCGGCCAGACGCGGACCCCTGGACGAGCCAGAAAGACCCTGTACAACGCCTGCACAGCGATAAGTACAGGGACGTGTCCCTCACTCTGCAATCTACACTATATGCGTGTTTTAGTCACTGGCACCGCTTGTGATCCGTAGCTGGGATTGCGTGCGGGTCAGTCTACAGCGGGGCAGTCTACAGCGGGGCAGTCTACAGCGGGGCACAGCGGGGCAGAGGGAGACCGGGAAAAGAGCCAAATACAACGCTGCAACCCCTACGTGTGAAAGGGACGTATGAGAACTGCACAGCGGCTGCGTGTGCGCGTGTCTGGTCTCGTCAGGCCAGGTCTCTGTCTTACAGCATCCCACGCATCCCACGCACCCACCTGCGCGGATTTGGACAGCGGGCCCGGACCGGAGGATGTTTATTTGACAACGCCCTGCTGTGTTAAGTAAAAGGGACGTTCCCTAGTTTCTCCTTGCTGTGCGTGTGTGATTACCTGTCGTGTCTGAGGACCCGGTCTGTGTGTCTACAGCTCCAATCAGTGGTGTGGCAGCGGTGGTCGGAGGTGGTGCGGGTCCAGCTGGGGACTAGACCCGGACAGTGGGCTGTGGCAACCTGGGGGCCGCGCTACGTCGCAGTGCACTCCGTGGCCAAAAGGGGGCAGCATTGGATAAGTGACTGGAGTCACTAGACTCTGAGCTGCGCTCTAGTGAACTCTATTTTAGCATAATGTTTTATTAGGTCTTAATATTCTCACTGCCCCATTCGCTTTTACATATTTATATTTTTAGCACATTCTATGTATAAATAAACTTTTTGAAACTACCATAAGTCTTGGGTCATTTCTCAGTGGTACAATTTAAAGGTGGAAAGTTCTATCCTGACATTTATTTGGCGTTCGCTGGCAGGATCCACCAGTACTACTGAGAAATGGACCAGAGTAGGCAGGCTAGTCCGGCTAGTCCGGCTATTAGTGCAAATTTTATGATGCCATGGTTCATGGGAGCCGCATGGATCCCTAAATTTGGTGGTAAACGGGACCAGTTTGGGGAGTGGAAGGCACAGGTGGAGGCAATGTTGCGTGCACAAGGCCTTAGCCAGCAACAACAGGTAGATTTTGTCCTCGGGGCCCTGGAAGTAATGCTGGCTACTGCCAATGAGAAGGACACAAGTGCTAAAATAATGGACTTATTAGAAAGAGTATACGGCCAACCTGCAACAAAAGCCCAAGCGCGAATGAACTTTTTTAACTGTAAACAAAAGACTGATGAATCTATAAATGCCTTTGTTTTGCGCCTCAGAAGCTTTCTGTACGTGGCAGGAGAAGGATGAAGGAGGAACCGGGGACTCTGATGATTTGCTCCTAGACCAATTCATGGTGGGCCTTCGTCGAGGACTGGTTAAACAAGAGCTTAGCCGACAGCTGCGCCGCCGTGATGGCACAACATTCAAGGCCGCCTGCACAGAGGCCCGGGCATTGGAACAGGAGCTGCAGGTGGAGGAGGAATCACTGGTTGTCGTGTCACAACTTACGTCCCGCCCAAACAGCCAGTAATGGATCCAGTGCAAATTAAGGAGCAAATACAATCTGAACTCAAAGTGGAGCTTCTGGGGGAGATAAAAAAAGAGATAAAAGAACAGATAAAATCTCTATCTTCCACAATAGTAGAGGACATCCGCACTCAGCTCTTTAATCACAACCAGTCGCCAGCTGGGTTCTCCCCACGCAGGCAACAGCGCCCAAGTACCCCTAATTATCGTTGGGATGAACAAGGGAGACCAATCTGCCGGAACTGCGGCCACTCTGGACATATGCAGCGCTACTGCCCACAAAGACCCACTCAAAGCCCCCAGGATTTTTAAGCACCCCTGCAATACAATTTTACAATACAATTTATTCTTGTATAGCCCTAGGTCACAACAGAAGTCATCTCAGAGGACTTAACAAAACCATTGAAATCACCAACACAGGTCAGAGAATCAACAGTTAAAACACATGAAGAATACAGTATAAAGCACACACAGAAGAAAATGTCCATACATGTTGTAGAATGCTAAAGTGTCCTGATCATCACCAATCCTTTCTGTTGGACACTAACTGTCCAACAAGACCCTCCTGCATCGACAAGGAAAAACTCTTAAAAAACCCAGTGGGAAAAAGTGAGAAACCTTGGAGGAGAACTAGGGAAACCCACAGGGAGGGAGACCCATATGAGAAAGGGATCCGCTCCTCCGGACGGACAGACTAATGATCCAGGACCTAAGCTAGCTACAGGACGTGCAGCTGAGGGCCAAGCGGTAGGGACGGCTATTCTCGAGCCCATAACTCCAGCAACAGAAACTCACGAGGCGGCCAACACAGGACTAGGACAGAAGACGGTGCTGGTGGGTGAGTGCCCCGATGTACTAGTAAAGATCGATAACTGTACTATTCCTTTTGTGCTTGATACAGGATTGCAAGTCTCCATGATGAGCCTGAGTCTATTCAAAAAGCATATGGAGGGAACCCAGGTGCAGAGTGCTGATGAAGTCTCGTGGCTAACCCTGACGGCTGCAAATGGGCTACAAATCCCTTATATTGGCTATGTCACGGTCAGCTGCCTGGTAGGAGGAGTTAACATTCCAGAAAAAGGAATAATAATTGTCAATGACAGCTGTCTTGGGCCAGAAAAGGGCATATTGGGCATGAATGTTATTCAACCATTGTGGTCTTCACTCACCCAGGGCAACCATCCAGGGCTGGCAGCGTTCAAGACCACTGTAACGTCAGCGGAAGGGAAGGCGTGGGGCAAAGCGTTCACTATATGCCAGCGAGTTGAATGTAGCGGACCTAGGCCCAGAGTGGAGGGGGTAGCAAAACTCTCCAGACAGCCACCTGTCATCATTCCGCCCCACACAGAGATGGTCCTGTGGATGCAGGTAACCGAAACAAATGTTGATTGTACTGTTACTATTGAGCCTTTCCCCAATGATAATGGTGAGTGGCGCATTGGGCGGACCCTGGCCATATTGAAGAAGGGGAAAGTACCCTGCAGGCTCTGCAACCCAAATCCCTACCCCGTTGAAGTGCCCCAGCGACAACCCCTGGCAAAGGTGACTGAGGTGGATTCAACAGATGTTCAGGAAGAACAGCAACTGGTCTTGAACAGTGTGGGACCTGACGTTATAGAGGTGGCAGTAAGGAGGATAACTGGGGATTTTCATTTCATTTCATTTCATTTTATTGAGAGCCCCATTAGCTCCTGACTTATTGCCGGGGCTATTCTACCTGGGGTCTCCTTCATTTTCATTACAAATGTTTACAACATAACAAAACAAACAAAACCACAACACACACACATACACACAAACCAACCGTGGGAGCTCAATGTGAAACCGAACAAAACATGTCGCTAGCCACACAGCACAACCGCCCGACTCATCTTTGCCCGTAAAACATGTAAAAGACATTTTATAGGAAACACATTGTTTTTCCTCATTTACCATTTCAACAATACAAAATGACCTAAACAATTATGCCATACGGCCAACGATATCACATAAAACCAAAAATAGATAAGTAGAATCGACCTAAAACAGCAATAACAGCATTTTTACCATTTCCATTTAACAAAGTAAAACGAATAATCCATTACCTAAACAAAAGTAAAACATTTACAGTAATCAAAACATTTGAAGTTTTGTATGAAACATAAATCTCAACCTAACAACTCGACTGCCCACGGATCCCATTACAGCACCAGCTTGGAACTTGCCTATCACATGGTTAGTTACCGTATTAATCCAACATCATTCTTGTGTAAACAAAAACACCTTTAGTTTATTTTTAAAACATATTTTGCTGTTTTCTAACAACAAAAATCCTGGTAAAGAATTCCAGGCAACCACGGCTCTGTAACAAACAGTTCGCTGCATCTGATTAGTTTTACAACAGGGTAGAGCACACCTTGTTGCACTGGTCTGACGTGTTCCATAACTATGATTATCTGAGAAAAATGACAATTTATTATGTATGACTTTAGGTATTTTTGTCATAATAATGTTCCTAATAAATGTTATTAGGAAATACTTTAATCTACATTTGACTGTTAACCACGCCAAACTATCATGCATTGTCCTCACATTGGTTCTGTATGGGCAACCTAAAACAATCCGTGCTGCTTTATTTTGAGCTACTTGTAACTTATGTAAATTATTTTCACTTGTGTTTGACCAAACAACTGATGCATAGTCTAAGTATGAAAGTACAAGTGATTGAACTAGTTGTTTGGTCAACCACCGAGGAATACACTTTCTACAATATTTAATTATGCCCATACTCCTCCCCATTTTCTGTAATAGACAATTAATTTGACTGGTCCACGACAGTCTAGAATCTACAATCACTCCCAACAATTTTACTTGATCTACTTGTTCAATTCTCGTATTTCCTGAAGTCAAATGTAACATCGGTGTTGTTTTCAATAGGTGTTTTGAACCAACTACCATGCATTTAGTTTTTTCGACATTAACCACTAATTTGTTAGTTCTAATCCATTGAGTTACTAAAGTCAGTTCCTCCTGTAGAATGTTATTAAGTTGGCAGTCTGTTTGTGCAGACGCAGACAATGTTGTGTCATCTGCATATATAGCCATGGTTGCCTGTTTTAACACCAGGGGAAGATCATTTGTAAAAATCGAAAATAAAAGGGGTCCCAAACAACTTCCCTGGGGCACTCCACAATCCATATGTCCAATCTCAGAATAATGTCCATTAAAATAAACTTTATACTCCCGATTACTTAGATAACTTTCTAACCACTTTAAGGCAGGCAACTGAAATCCATAACATTTCAACTTATTTAGTAAAATTGTATGATCTAAAAGATCAAAAGCCGCACTTAAATCTAAAAATATTGTGCCAACCATCTTTTTATTATCAATTTCCTGTAACCAATGATCGGTAATCTGAGTAAGTGCAGTAGTTGTGGAGTGACCCATTTTATATGCATGCTGATAAATTGTATTTAATCCCTGAGCTGTAAAATATTCCTGCATTTGGTCATATGCTACTTTTTCCATAATTTTGCTTAATGCAGGTAACAAGCTTATTGGTCTGCTATTTTGACTTGACAATGGTTCTTTATTATTCTTAATTAAAGGGATCAATTTTGCCATCTTCCATGGTGATGGAAATATGTTTTTCCTTAAACTTAAATTGATTATATGAGAAACAGGCAACAGAACAAAATCTACTACCATCTTTAATAGTCTGACCTCAATATTGTCAGCACCAGAGGGCTTTTCTTTACTTTCTTTCAACAATTTTTTGACATCATCCTCTGTTACCTCAGCAAATTTGAATGTAATATTTTTGGTTTGCATTATATATTTCCTTATTAATTGGTAAGTAATATTTTCTTCCTGTCTCACTGCCATGTCATTTCTAATTGTTTTTATTTTGTTAGTGAAAGACTGGCTCAGGTAATTAGCAATTTCCCTTGGTTTAGTAAGATATATTCCGTCTCCCTCCAAAAAAGTAGGAGTAGATCTTGTTTTCTTGCCCATAAGTTCATTTAATGTATTCCATAATTTCGTACTATCCGATTTAACCTCATTAATCTTTTTATGATAATATAGGCATTTCTTATTTTTATTTAATTTGGTGACAAAATTTCGTAATTTTCGATATTCATTCCATTTTGCCAATTGATTTGTTTTTATGGCCTCTGTTCTGACTTTATCCCTGAGCTTCATGTATTGCTTCAGGTCTTTGTCCAGCCATGGAGCAGAGACATTTCTCACTGCTTGTTTCCTCATTGGAGCATGTTTATCAATCACCTTTGTTATCAGATTGTTAAAGACCACCACTGCCTTATCTGGATCTTGTTCTTGTAGTACCTCTGACCAATCTATGTTGCTTACTTCTGCTATAAAATCATTTTCTTTGAAATGTTTAAAAGTCCTTTTACAAATAAATTGTTGTCCCTGTGTAGGTACCTTTGTCTTCCTCATAACTGCAATTAAATTGTGGTCACTGTAGCCAACTGGAATAGATACTGCCTCAGAGCATAACTCTGCCACATTAGTAAAAATTAAATCGATAATAGTTGCTGAACATGTACCATCGGTCTTTAAATGTATTCTCGTGAATTCACTGACAAGTTGTGACAAATTACAAGTATTAGCAAATGAAATTAATTTGCTTCTTAATGCACAACTTTCCAATTTCCAATCAATATTTAAATCTCCTAAAAAATAAATTTCGCCTCCTGTATCACATACAATGTCCAGCATTTCACATATTTGATCAAGGTACATTATAGCGGCATTCGGTGGTCTGTAACAACATCCAATGACAACAGGCCTCAAATGAGGTAACTGTAACTGTAACCAGAGTACTTCGACTCCTGCGATGTTAAGATCTGATCTTACTGTGACTGGGATGTGGATTTTGGACATAACAAGCTACACCTCCACCATGTAAATTTCTGTCCAGCCTAAAAATATTATAGCCATCTATATGTAATAAAGGGCTATTTATTGTTGCATCCAGATGCGTTTCTGATATTGCTA